CTAATGAAAAGAAGGAGAGAGAAATCTCAAATTACTAAAATTCATGATGAAAAAGAAATATCATGACAGACACTATTGAAATACAGAAGACAGGGCTGAGGTTGTGGCTCAGCAGTGGAGCCCTGGGTTCGATCCTCAGCACCACATAAAAATAAAATAAAGATGTTGTGTCTACTGAAAACTAAAATATAAATATTAAAAATTCTCTCTCTTATAAAAAAGTAAAAAAAATGAAGACATTGTGTCCGACTGAAACTAAAAAATAAAAAAAAAGAAATACAGAAGATAATTAGAAACTATTTTGAAAATGTATACTCTAGTAAAATAGAAAACCTTGATCAACCCAAACTGAATCAATGATAGGATTTTGAAAGCTTCAAAAGAAAATACCAGGTCACATTTGGAGAGAAGCCAATTAGAATTACTTCTGATTTCTTGGCAAAACTTTTAAAATCCAGGCAGTCTTGGATGATGGGTTCTAAGTCCTTTCAGAAAATAACTATCAAGATTGCTATATCAAGCAAAGCTATCCTTCAGAATTAAAGATGAGCCAGGTGTGGTGGTGCACACCTGTAATCCCAGTGGCTTTGGAGGCTGAGGCAGGAGGATCACAAGTTCAAAGCCAGCCTTAGCAAAAGTGAGGCACTAAGCAACTCAGTGAGACCTTGTCTGGTCTGGGGATGTGGCTCCGTGGCCAAGTGTCCCTGATTTCAATCCCTGGTACCCCACCCCCACAAACAAAGAATTAAAGATGAAATAAAAACCTTTCAAGATGAGCAGAAACTAAAAAAAGTCATGACTAGTAAGCAGGTACCACAAAAAATACTTAAAGAAATAAAACAAAGAAGAAAGAAAAAACAAACCCTTAGCTTGCAAATGGACAAATTTCATTTGAAGAGTAACTAATCAAATGAATAGAGGACCAAATTAAACATGATAAGTAAACCAAGAGGGCAGGAATTGATAAATATCTCTCTATAATAACATTGAGTGCAAATGTTCTCAACTTTCCAATTAAAAGACACAGGCTGAAAGAATGGACTAAAATATAAGACCAAACTATATGTTATTTGTAAGAGGCTCACCTTACAGGCAAAGACAGCCACAGGCTGAAAGCGAAAGGATAAAAATGGATATCCTTGGCAAATGGAGCCAGAAAACCAGCAGAAATAGTGACTATCATATTCAACAAAGTCAACTTCAAGCCAAAATTAATCAGAAGAGACAAAGAAAGTCATGTCACACTGGCAAAGGGAACAACCAAACAAGAAGATACAGCTATAGTAAATATTTATGCCCCAAACATTGGTGCACATGAATACATAAAACAGAAATTCCTCCAATCAGACTCAGACTCCAGCACTACAATATTGGGTGATTTCATACAACTGTCTCACCAACAGATAGCTCATCCAGACATAACTCAATACAGACTGTTCAGTCTTAAAAATATTATAAATAAAATAGACTTAACAGATATCTATAGAATTTCACGGAACTTTCTCTGAACTATACAATATTTAAGGCCACAAAACAACTCTTAGCAAATACAAAACAGGATATAATTTCTTGCATATTATCTGATCATAATAAATGAAATTAGAAATCAACACATACACGCAAAAACTACAGAAACTGTGTAAACTGATGGAGATTGAACAATACATTTTTGAACAATGAGTTGATGCTAGAGGAAATCCCAGTAGAAATTTTAGAAGTTCTTAGAATTAGATGACAATAGCAATGTAACATAAGAGAAACTCTTGGACACTATAATGGTGGTTCTAAGAGGAAAGCTTTTGAGTGTCTACATAAGGAAATCAGAAAGATCCCAATTAAACAACCTAATGATGTATCTCAACATCCTTGAAAAATAAGAAAAAAACTAAACCAAAACTAGTAGAAGTAAATAAGATCAGAACTTAAATCAATGAAATGGAGAATAAAAAAGCAATAAAAAGGATCACTGAAATAAGATGGGTCTATGAAAAGATAATCAGGATTGATAAACCCTTGGCATAACTAACCAAAAGAAAGAGATAAGGCCCAAATTAATAAAATGAGAGATAACAAAGGAAAAATAATCACAGACATCACAGAAATCCAGATGATCATTAGAGAATATTTTGAAAATTTATACTCCAACAAGTTGGAAAGCCTAGAATAAATGGACACAATTTTAGATATATCGAACCAGCCCAAATTCTATCAGGAAAATATAGAAAACCTAAATAGAATAGTATCAAGTAATGGAATTGAAACACCAATTAAAAGCCTTCCAACAAAGAAAAGTCCAGGACCAGATGGATTATAGATAGAATTCTACCAGACCTTTAAAGAACTAATCCCAACGGTCCTTGAATTATTGTATGAAATGGAAATAAATTAAATAAATAAATTATTGCTACAAAGCCAGTATCATGTTATACCAAAATCAGATAAGGACACATTAAGGAAAGAAAAGTACAGACCAATATCCCTGATGAACTTAGAAACAAAAATCCTTGGGTTGGGGTGTGGCTCAAGTGGTAGCGCTTGCCTGGCATGCGTGAGGCACTGAGTTCGATCCTCAGCACCACATAAAAATAAAATAAAGATATTATGTCCACCTAAAAACAAACTAAAAAATAAATACTTTAAAAAAATCCTTAATCAAATATTAGTAAATCACATCCAACAACATATTAAGAAGACATAATTTAGCACCCACTCATGATAAAAGCACTGAAGAAACAGGGGATAGAAGGAATCTACTTAAACATAAAAATGGCTATATATGACAAACTCAAAGCCAACAACATAGTGAATGGAGAAAAACTGAAAGCTTTTTCCTTAAAATTTGGGACAAGACAAGGATGTCCACTCTCACCACACCTACAGTTTTAGAAGTTCTAGCCAGAACAATTAGGAAAGAGAAGGAAATAAAGGGATAAAAATAGGAAAGAAGAAATCAAATTATTACTTTTGCAGATGATATGATCCTATACCTAGATAAAAAACTTCACCAAAAGACTGCTAGAGCTAATCAATTCAGAAAAGTAGCACATTACAAAATCAGCATACAAAAATCAATACTTTTCTATATACCAACAATAAATCTGCTGAGGAAGAAATTAGGAAAACCATCCCATTTACAATACTCTCAAAAAATTCCTAGGACTAAATCTAACCAAGGAGGTGAAAGACCTCTACAATGAAAACTATAGAACACTGAAGAAAGAAACCAAAGTCACAAGAAGCAGAAAAGAAAGTATTTCACAAGGAAGACAAAGGAAATGAGACAAAGAACATCTTTTTTATGGGTTTGGGGTTAAACTTATCCCAATTTCTAAAGATGTAGTGGAGGGCTGAATCTTGTGGTATGGACATCTATCTAGTTACCCATCTGGAAGACAAGTCAAGAGTATATTAGAGGGTGAGGTGTCCCTCTATCCCTCTCAGCATGTGACCTGGTGGAGTTCTGGCCTTAAGCATTGTTATTGGCACTCTATCTTCCATTGGGTCTCCACCTGGAGATTCTTTACCCTATTGTCTTAATGTACCTCAGTGAGCACAGTAACCTATTGGGCTTCCACTTGCCAGAGGAGGTCTTTAACATTTTCCCCAAAGCATGATTACTTTCCTCATGATAGTCTTAAACCCTCAATGCAGTTAAGGACAGAATGCTGCCAAACAATGGAAGCTGTGGGAGGCCTTACCCTGAGAGTGCCTGATTTTTCTCTACCATTTAAAAAATTTAGAATCCATTATAAATAATCAGAGTAATAAAGAGTTAGTCCATTTGCTTAGACTGATGAATAGGGTCCTGAGGCAACTGACAGAAAAGATGAAAAGACAAGGCAAGCATTAAATATGGTCTCCTATCCCTGTGGGACACAAGTAACACCTTTTTGACCCTGGACATGTTCAAGTAGCAGATTCAACAAAATGTCAGGAAATTAGACAGCTTAGAGAGTTTGAAGGGAGGGTTTTAAAATTTGAAAGAAGAAATGACCCCCATGCCATAAGAAGAGAAAGCCTTTTAGAGTCCTAGGGATATAATGTTGTTAAGGAGGGATGAGGGTGAGAGCTATCACTGAAGACTGTACAAAAGAAAGTAGTGAAGAAGAGTCTGAAGCATAGGATAAGTCCAAAGACAGAATAGCAGTGAAAAAAAGAGAAGGGAGAGTGTGGAGATCTCAATGTATGAAGTGGGAGGAGGGGGAGGAGAGAGAACAGAAATGAACACATAAGGATGTACTAACACTTTTCATAATACATATATTGTAATTGCCTGTCTCCATTATCAAACTGTTTATTTTGTGAGGCAGAATATTCTATGTGACTAAAAGTCATGGAATAATTACAATAATTATAACTCTACTGTTAACTAAATGAGTGAAATTAGGATGCATATGTGAATTCTTTAAAGTTTAGTTTTTTTCTTTTTTTCTTTTTTTATTGGTTGTTCAAAACATTACATAGCTCTTGACATATCATATTTCATACATTTGATTCAAGTGGGATCATAACTCACTTGAAAGTTTAGTTTTTTCACTAGCAAAAATAAAAATAATGACTGAACCACTCTGGGTCTGTGTTTTCTTATATCTAAACTTGGAATAATTTTTGAAACTATGTTTGTAATAAAAACAGTTATCCTGGATTTAGAAAAATACAAATTAATGTGTGCTTGTCATTTTGAAGTCATACTAGAGTATTTTCTAATAAGCTTGACTGAACTTATCAGACTATCATTAGAGAATGGAACTTTGCTTTCCCAGTGTTTTTGACTAAAAATCCAAAACAGATAAAATTACAGATGATTTAGAGACGTATAAGGTTAGAAATGTAAATATGCAGAAAGAATATGTTCTTGTGATTTTATAGCCCAATAGAGAATTTCTTCCTACTGGTTCTGTCTGTAGTAAATGACATTGTTTGAGAATTGTGATTTTACAAAGTTAATAGAGTTGTTGCAATTAAAAACAAAATAATAATTAATAACACTATTCAACTAATAATTACTGAATTAAATTTTATTGATGTCATCTAAGAAGATAATAGGAAGTGAGGTCCATTTCCTCTGGTCCTGTCAGCCCCATTCAGCCTTCAAAAAAGATAATAATCCCTTTATCTAAGAGGGTAATTCTGAGATGTATTAGTACTTATGGAATTGAGTAACCACTTGTCACAAATGTTCACCTTGTTATATGCTGGAGCTTAGTTGTGGCATACTTTAAATATGTGCTCATGGCTTTGATTAATAAATTTCAGGGTGTGGTACTGAGAGGCTTTGTTCTTTAGGATCATAGATCTTAAACTTTACTTTTAAAAATTATGTTAATGAAAATAGAAAGATGTGAGCTGTTCAGAAAAGCTACAACCCCACATCCAGATGAGGTACAATCTGTCAGATCAGAAGTCTTTCAGCAAAGAGGTCATATGGCACACATTTATCTTGACTCTATTTTTCAAGGACAGCATTTTGGGTCATTTCTAATCCTATGCCTGGTGTTAACTCTTCACTCATTGCCTTATTTTTCTTGAAACCTATTAAAATACTACTTCATGTAACTTTTGTCTAAACTCTATTCTTTACTCAAAACCTAGAATATAACCCTGTGTCCCCCTGTCCTTTCTTACCAGAGATCAAACCTGGGGTACTCTACCACTGAGATACATCCCCAGCCCTTTTCATTTTTTATTTAGAGACATGTCTTGCTAAATTGTTGAGACTGCCCTCAAACTTGTTATCATCCTGCCTCAGCTTCCCAAGTCTCTAGGGTTTCACATGTGTATCATTGTTCCCAACCTGTGGTTTCCTTTTTGGGAGATACACTTTTGCTTATGTTTCCCCTTTAAAGGAGAAAGAGTTAAGTTCAGCTTTTGTTTCCAGACTTGAATGACTTGAGAGTACTTTAATATGTGATGTATAGAACATGAATCTAAATAATAATACATTTAAAATTCTATAGAAAATTTTGTGATCATCCTTTAAGGACTGAGTACTTTGTCTTTTCACAAATAGCAACAAGACTTTTTGGTCATCCAACTCTCTTAGTTTCCTTATTTCTATGACTAAAAGATCCAGTTGACTTTGCAGATTTGCTATTTATTTGCTTCTGATCTTGTTTTTTAAAATTATGTTTTATCAAATAAATACTTGCTCATTTAACAATAATATAAACAGTCTGATCTCTGAGGTGGTCATATTTTTAGGTTTTGAATGCTGTTCTAAGACCAATTGGTCTTGGTCTTTTTAGTAATTTAAAAAAATAATTCTTTTAAAATTTGCTTCTTTGATACGTTAACTCTCTGATTTCATTATCCATGTCAGAAATGAACTTATGTGCACAATAAACTAATAAAAATGTAAAATTATCTTGACACTTTCCATGTCATTCAATATTGCAGTGGTTTATCATGGGAATAAATAAAAATGAACTGAAAATGTGAAGATCTGTAAAATATAGAATGAACAGATTTTTTTATGGTTATTCATATACAGAAAATACAGTTATTTTTCATAAGTTGGTTGGATAGAGCAAATATTGTTTTTCATATTCTTATTTCAAAAAATTTTCCTAATAAAGCAGAAAGTGAAATGTAATAACAAATATCTTTTCTCCTGAAAGAACTATTCTAACTCTTCTGTTTAGCCACACTTGCATAGGTGTTCTCAATTTCTTTGTCTTCGGGGCACGTGTGGGTAAATTCTTCACGTGCATAGGCATTGTGGAGATAGCGCCAGACTCCTGAGAATTCTGCTGGAATGTCAAAGTCACGGTATTTCTTGGCAGCAACCTACAAGTTTAGAAAAAAGTGGAAAAAGAAGATAATAGTAAAAGGCATCAGTAATATGACTATTATGTAGAAAGACATTTCAAAAATCAAGTATTATAAACTTAAAGAATCATGAATTTATTATTTTAACATTTTGTCTATAAATATAGGCAACACTGAATGATCAGATCATGTTTATTTTGAGGCTATATTTAATTATGAATACATTTACAAGAAGGGAACACAGAAAAGAAGAGCATTTTACCCTCACTGGACTGAGAGTTTAGTAGGGTCCTTATTATGTCATTTTCATGAACTCTCTTTGTCAGGAATAGAACACAGTAAATTCTGTGATATTTCTGTTCAATAAATATTTATTAAATTAATAATTAAATCATCATATTATAATATGTTTTTTACAGGAAAGTGATTAATTTTTATTGATTAACTTTTTTTGAATTACAGCTTTAATTATATGTAGTAGTTTGGTTCATCCCAATTGTCGATTAACTTTGCATCCTGCAATCCTGCTATAATCACTTATTTGTCAGGTTTTTTTTACTTCTTACATACATGACAATAGTGGAATGCATTACATTCATAATTATCCACTCACAGCATGATTTTTCGTAACTCTGTATATAAAGTATGTTCATACCAAATTATGCCATTATATATGAGCTCTCTTTTTTATTACAATTCTTAATACACGTTTATACCACAAATTTATCAAATCTCTGTTTGTATATAAGGTATGTTGACACCAAATTCACATCTTCATATACAAATACATGAATTTTGTATAATGATGACCATCTTCTTCCACTTGGTATTATCTAGAGCACCATTCCAAGCATTTTTATACTTTAATTTATTGAATTTTCTCTTGATCATTCTGTGAAAAGGATGGTATTATCATTCTTATTCTGTAGACAAGATAGTGAAAAACACTTTTGATTTAGAAAGAAAGAAGAACTTTTATCTGAAGAGAGAAAGGATGCTTCATGCTGGCAACTTACAAACCCCTCCCATACTATAGCAACCTGCTGTATAAAGACTTACTTTAATAATGTTCAGTTTGGGTAACAAGCTGCAGTCAGCCAGTGTTAGCTGATCCCCATCCAAGAACAATCTTCTGGAAACTCTGAGTTCCTCAGCATTGTCTGGATCAATTTCATCCAGAAGTGGGGTGTTTAAGTAGTCATCCAGACGTTTAAACTCTCTGAGCAGAGATTTTTCAAAATCTGAGGCAATTAAGTCATTAAGTTATTTATAAATATATTATCCTCATATATACATTCTAAATATGCTTTTCACAATTTAGACATTTCTGTTTATATGCATAGCTTATACTGGCTCTTGAACATCTACTTAATTATATAGAATGCTCAACTATTCACTGGTGAGACATAGATCAAATGGTGATTAGCAATAGATTGGATTTTCTTTGTGGAAGAGAAGTGGTAGGAGAGTCAAACAAAGAAAAGCATGTAGCTAGTTCATATTTGACATGTAAATGGTTTAATTGAGATCTTTTGGTAATTGCGATATTAAATATCAGATTTTAAATCTAATAAAACAATGCAAGGGAATATCAGAGGAGATAATAAAACTGAGCGGAAGAATAAACTGTTACCCAATATATATACTATATATTCAGGAAAATCCTATTTTAGCTGAGTGAGAAGTGAGAAGGAGAAAAATAGAGACTTCAAGAAAGAAATCTTACTCTTATTTGCCTCCTTTTGTGTATTCTTAATGTATGCAGAAAACTTGGCAAAGAGATTGCAGCCCACATCAAAGGATTCCTTGTACTTGGGACTCAGGTGAGGATACCTTAAAAAGAAACACAAGTGAATTATAATTCACTTTATGTTCACTAAAGTTTATTAGGAAATTAATGACTATAATTTTATTTACCTGTAGCAACAATGTTAAAAATGGTCTTAATTTCCCATACATGTTCCTAAAAGCTCATTTGTTACAAGACATAGAAAAGAAACAACATGTTTCCAAAGATAAGTAGTAGAAAATATAGTGTCTCTGGTTTAATCCCTGGTACCAAAAAAAAAAAAAAAAAAAAAGTAACTATGTGAGGTGGTGGATATGTTAAATTTTACAGTAGTAATCACTTCATTATGTATATGAAAACATGTTGTCTGAGCCCAGTCGCGCACACCTGTAATCCAAGGCACTTGAGAAGCTGAGACAGTAGGACCGTGGGTTCAAAGCCAGCCTCAGCAACAGCGAGGTGCTAAGCAACTCAGTGAGACCCTGTCTCTAAATAAAATACAAAATAGGGCTGGGGATGTGGCTCAGTGGTCAAGTGCCCCTGAGTTCAATCCCTGGTACCCCGCTCCCCTAAAAACACAAAAACCAAAAAACATCATGTTGCACAACTTAAATGTACACAATAAAAAATAAAGTTTAAAAAAATCAACTCCTGTTTTTTTAAAAAAGTAAAAACTCTTATTGGCAACTAGAAATGGTCAGGATGAAACTTAGGTATCTTCCTTGATTATCTATTTCCCTTCAAGATTATATTTAACCTATCAGCAACTGCAGTCAGCTCACCTTTCAAAATTTACCCAGAATCTGTTCACTTCTCATCAACTCCATTGTCCCTGTCTAGTAACCCTGTATTACTGTAATAGCTACCTGACCATTCTTATCCTATTCCCATGCTTGTCTGCCATACCTCTGGAATATCCTCCAACTGTAGCCAAAGCAATCATGTTAAAATAAAATGTAAATCATATCATGTCTCTTCTATATTCATTACTCTGCAGTAACCTCATCTCACTCAGATTCACAGCCCAGTGATTGGATCCCATCTTACTTATCTGTTCTTATCTCTATCACTCACACACCTGTGACACTGACCTTCTTCAAATAGGCCTTACAAACTCCTACTCTAGGACCTTTTCTGTTGTTTGCCTTGCTCCCATTCTTCTGTTGGGTCATTTTATCTGATATCTCCTTCTAATTGAAGGCTTTCTATGGACATTCCTTGTAATGCTGAAATCCTTCTTCTGTTCCTAACACCCACTACTTCCTTCCTTTGCTTTATTTTTGTCTTTGGTATTTATCATCATCTAAAACAGTTTACATATTGGAGATAGAAGATGGCAGATTAGAAAAAGGATAAACTTCCTCGCAGTTCCTTAGCACCCAATTTGCAAAGCAGTAAAACTGCTTCTCAACAAGGTGTGTACTAAGGGAATTCACTGAAACTTAATAATGAACTGTAAAAGAAAACAGACACAGAAAGTCAGAAACTTGAGCATAATATAAGAAATAACATGTTAGAGATGTGCCAGCTTGGCTACCAGTAGCAGCAGTGGTGGCAGTTCAGAGGAAAAGATCTCTAACATATTTTTGGAAATGAAAGATACAATAGATCAAATTAAAAATCAACTTAAAAGCATCACTAACAGATTATATTCTGTAGAAAACAGAACTTCAGTCCTTGAAGACAACATATATCAACTTGAGTATATAATATGCAACAAAGGAAAAAGATACAATATGATCAGAATATAAAAGAACTCTCAGACAACATCAAGAAACCATACCTAAGACTCACTGGGAAAAAAGAGAATATAGAGATACAGGTCAAAGGCATTAAGAATATTTACAATGAGATGTTATCAGAAAAAAATCCCCATAATAGAAATGAGATAGACATCCACAGACAAGATGAAAACAAAACCAAAATAGGCCAGATCAGGAAATAAATCTTTCCAAAACACACCATAATCAAAATGCCTAATATATTAGTCAGGGTTCTCTAGAGGAACAGAATCGACAGGAGGTATGAATATAAAACGGGGACTTATTAGGTTGGCTCAAGCGACCAGAAGCTGGATAGTCCACCATGGCTGTCTGCAGGCTGGAGAGCTGGAGGAACCAGTAGCTACACAGTCCAAGAGGCTGAAGCCTCAGAACAAGAGGGATGAATGGTGCTACCCTAGTCCAAGGACAAAGGCTTCTGGGGAATCACTGAGAGAGTCTGCTCTGGAAGAGTGAAGGAATGAGTGTCTGACATCTTCAGAGGATCTCAGCAGCAATCAAGCTGGCTTATGCTGCTGTTTCCTTATTCTTTCAACCTTTATTCCATCCAAGCCATCATCCTATTGGATGGTTCTGCCCACTCTTAGGGAGAGTCTCCATTTCAGTTGGCTATCCCACTTGCCAGTCATTCCTACACACACCCTCATCGATACACCATAAACCTCTTAATCCTTGGCATCTCTTAATCCAATCAAGTTGACAATTCAGATTGACCATTAAACCTAACATAGAATATTAAAAGCTGTAAGACAGAAACACCAGGTTACATTTAGAGGCAAATCAATAAGGCTCACTTCTGATTTCTCAACTCAGACTCTAAAATTAAGGAGGACCTGGAATGAGGTATTACAAGTTCTAAAAATATTGCCAGGGGGCTGTGGCTGTGGCTCAGTGGTAGTGCACTTGACTGGCATGTGTGAGGCACTGGGTTTGATTCTCAGCACTGCATATAAATAAATAAAATAAAGATCTATCAACAACTAACAAATATTTTAAAAATTGTCAGGCAAGCTTATTATATCTAGCAAAGCTATCTTTCAAATTGATGTAAAATAAAAACTTTGCAGGACAAGGATAAACTAAAATAATTCACTAAGAAGAATTCACCACTAATCCAGAAATACAAAGAATATTTAAAGGCAAACAGAAGAATTCAGAAACAAAAGCTCTCAAATAGATGAAGCTCACTAGAAGAAAAAATAACTAAATAAAAATCAAGATAGAATTAAATAAGCAAAGAAACTAAAATGACAAGAAATAAACACCTATCCATAACAACACTGAATGTAAGTGGTCTTAACTCCCCAATTAAAAGACACAGATTAGCACAATGAATCAAAAAACAAGATCCAACTCTATGCTGTTTGCAAGACTCATAGGCAAAGACACTCATAGTCTGAAGGTAGAAGGATGGAAAGAATATTCCAATTCAAAAAGAGTTAAAAAACAAGCAGGAATAGTTATTCTCATATCTGTCAAATTAAATTTCAGGCAAAAATGAATCAGGAAAGACAGATAAATCCTGATAAAGTGAACAATCCAAGAAGAAGATATGATCATAGTAAATATATATGGCCCAAATGTCAGAGCACCCAATTACATAAAAAGCTCCTTAACATTAAATCTCAGTTAGATCCAATACAATATTACTGGGTGATTTCAACCCACTCTTTTTTTTATTGGTTGTTCAAAACATTACAAAGCTCTTGACATATCATATTTCATACATTAGATTCAAGTGGGTTATGAACTCCCATTTATACCCCAAATACAGATTGCAGAATCACATCGGTTACACATCCACATTTTTACATAATGCCATATTAGTGACTGTTGTATTCTGCTACCTTTCCTATCCTCTACTATCCCCCTCCCCTCCCCTCCCATCTTCTCTCTCTACCCCATCTACTGTAATTCATTTCTCTCCTTGTTTTTTCCCCATTCCCCTCACAACCTCTTATATGTAATTTTGTGTATCAATGAGGGTCTCCTTCCATTTCCATGCAATTTCCCTTTTCTCTCCCTTTCCCTCCCACCTCATGTCTCTGTTTAATGTTAATCTTTTCCTCCTGCTCTTCCTCCCTGCTCTGTTCTTAGTTGTTCTCATTATATCAAAGAAGACATTTGGCATTTGTTTTTTAGGGATTGGCTAGCTTCACTTAGAATAATCTGCTCTAATGCCATCCATTTCCCTGCAAATTCCATGATTTTGTCATTTTTTAGTGCAGAGTAATACTCCATTGTGTATAAATGTCACATTTTTTTTATCCATTCATCTATTGAAGGGCATCTGAGTTGGTTCCACAGTCTAGCTATTGTGAATTGTGCTGCTATGAACATCGATGTGGCAGTATCCCTGTAGTACGCTCTTTTAAGGTCTTCAGGGAATAGTCCGAGAAGGGCAATAGCTGGGTCAAATGGTGGTTCCATTCCCAGCTTTCCCAGGAATCTCCATACTGCTTTCCAAATTGGCCGCACCAATTTGCAGTTCCACCAGCAAGGTACAAGAGTACCCTTTTCCCCACATCCTCGCCAGCACTTGTTGTTGTTTGACTTCATAATGGCTGCCAATCTTACTGGAGTGAGATGGTATCTTAGGGTGGTTTTGATTTGCATTTCTCTGACTGCTAGAGATGGTGAGCATTTTTTCATGTACTTGTTGATTGATTGTATGTCCTCCTCTGAGAAGTGTCTGTTCAGGTCATTGGCCCATTTGTTGATTGGGTTATTTGTTATCTTATTGTCTAATTTTTTGAGTTCTTTATATATTCTGGATATTAGGGCTCTATCTGAAGTGTGAGGAGTAAAAATTTGTTCCCATGATGTAGGCTCCCTATTTACCTCTCTCATTGTTTCTCTTGCTGAGAAAAAACTTTTTTAGTTTAAGTAAGTCCCATTTGTTGATTCTTGTTATTAACTCTTGGGCTATGGGTGTCCTATTAAGGAATTTGGAGCCTGACCCCACAATATGTAGATCGGAGCCAACTTTTTCTTCTATCAGACGCAGAGTCTCTGATTTGATATCAAGCTCCTTGATCCATTTTGAGTTAACTTTTGTGCATGGTGAGAGAAGGGGATTCAGTTTCATTTTGTTGCATATGGATTTCCAATTTTCCCAGCACCATTTGTTGAAGATGCTATCCTTCCTCCATTGCATGCTTTTAGCCCCTTTATCAAATATAAGATAGTTGTAACTTTGTGGAATAGGACCCAGAGACTAATCAACCCACTCTTATTACCAAAGACATGTCATCAAAGCATTA